GCGCGGGGAGAGGCGCAGGGGTGCGAGGGGGTGACTCGGAACCGAGGGCAGCCAGAGCGGCCGCGGTACTCACTCAGCCAGGACTCCAGACTCTCCCCTTCCGCCTCCGCCATATTGCAGCCGCCCGGGCCTGCCCCGCGGCCTCAAGCCTCGCGAGAGCCCGCGCGAGCCGGGCCGGGGCGGGGCCTGCATGGGGGCCTGAGCGCAGCAAGCTCCGCCCCGAGCGTCGCGCCGGGCGGACCGCGGGAGGGCTCGGGCCGCCTGCAGGCTCTTCCCTTGGGCCACGGAGCGAGAGCCCTCAGCGCCCGGACGAATGGGGCAGGTTCCGGCCGCGCGGGGCCCTGTCCTGCCCGCCGGCCTCGCGCGCAGGCACGCTCAGGGCAGCCTCGGCGGGGTCCTCGTGGCCCGCCAAGATGGCTGCCCCCGCCGTGCGGGCTGCGCGAGGGTGGTCAGGCCTGGCGCTGACCGTGCGGAGCGCCGTCCTGCGGCTTCCGGGGTGAGAGGGCGGCGGGCAGCAGCGGGGGCGGCTGCGTCTTCATGAAGAGACCTGAGGGGGAAAAGACGGGCCGCAGGAAGGTCGCGCGCGGACCCTGCTGCGCAAGGGTCGGCTTCAGCCCTTTGACTGGCTGCTCGACGGGCCGGTCTGGAGGCCGAGCGGACGCTCCTAGCCCGAGGGGCTGCACTGATCTGGGGCTGTGGTGGGAGCTGAACGTGCGGACTCGCTGAAGAGCCCGGGGCTAAGCTTTTCTGCGTGTCGGGGGAGGGAGAGACGGGCACGGGAGCGGCTGGTTCGCACCGTCAGCTCTCGGCGAAGACTCCCGGCCTGCCGGGGGCGTTGGGGGACTCCAGCCTCGGACGCGAGGTGGCCGCGGCCCAGGCCCGACGGGCGGTCCCGTTGCCGCTCGGTCGCGGGCGGGTTGGCGAGGGAGCCTATTGTTAAGTCAAGCCTTTCCACGTGTGGAGTGAGCGCTTGCCAGCGCCCCTCTTCCCGTCCCAGGCTAACCCAAGTGCGCTGCAGCCGCTATGGGCCCGAATACAGGGATCCCGAGATTGACAAGGACTATTACCACAAGCCCTCGGCCGAGCTGACTGAGGAGGAGAGGTATGAGCGGGAGCTCAAGAAGACTCAGCTCATCAAAGCGGCCCCGGCGACCAGAGCAAGCTCTGTGTTTGAGGATCCAGTGATCAGGTTGGAGGGAAACTCTGTCCCCTGAAAGGGGGTCACACGGGGCAGGGGCTGCAGTGCAGATGTCCTGGGAGTCTGGGAAGGCCGGACGTGTTGCTCTTGTCTTGTAGTAAATTCACCAACATGATGATGAGAGGAGGAAACAAAGTGCTGGCCCGCTCGCTCATGGCGCAGGTGAGTGGCATCCCCGTGCCCATGGTACAACTCTGCTGGGCTCTTCCAGGTTAACACAAAAAGCCAACTCAGACCCCGGCTGCTCTACTGAGTTCCTTGGGGGGTTTGGGGGACCTTCGTGAAGTCCCGCCCCCGCCCGTTTCAGCCCTCTGTTCTGCCTCTGGAAGAGAAGCACTGGGGAGCTTGGCCCCGTATTTGCTGAGGGAGGAGCGAGGGGCTAGGCACTGGCTCAGCGGAGACCCTCTAGCGAGCCTGGGCAGCCTCCTCACCGCATTCCTTCTCAGACGCTGGAAGCTGTGAAAAGGAAGCAGTTCGAGAAGTACCACGCCGCCTCTGCGGACCTCCGGGCCACCATCGAGCGCAACCCTTACACCATCTTCCACCAAGCACTGAAGAACTGCGAGCCAGTGATTGGGCTGGTGCCCATCCTCAAGGGTGGCCATTTCTACCAAGTGAGTGGTCGAGCTGGACATCGGGGCTGCCCACACATGGAGGGTGGGAGAGCGGGCTGGGATGGAAGGGCCCAGACTGACAGCTCTGTCAGTGTGCTCATCTGCGCCCCCAGTGTAACAGTCACAGGCAGGAAGAGAACAAGGGAGTGCCCTAGTGGACTTTTGTGAAGCCTAATGCACCCCTGCCAGCATAGCACCCCGTACCCTAAATTGCCAGCGAGGGCCTGTGCTTACACCGGCACCGGGTGCGGTGCCTGACCTGAGGCTGGTGGCTCCCCATTCCTGTCACGCTGTGAGCCTGTCACAGCATTTAGTCGTATTTCATTGTCACGAAGGGATGTGTTTGTCTTTTTCAGTTAAATCTCCTAAGGGTTCAGACTTTTTCACTCATGCCCGTGTCTCTGGCATATTTCCTGGCACACAGTGGAGGCTGGGCAAATGATTCTTGGAGAGGGTCTTGTCTTTATGTGTTCAGGTTGGCCCTAGGCGATCTGTGTTGGCAGTCACCTGAGCAAATGGGTCTGTCCCCGCTGGTGATTACTTCCAGTTGGCCGAGCTCCCGCTTAGTGAACGGGCCAGCGCTTAAGGAGTGTTTGCTCGGGGAACATCTGCTTCTCTGAGCCCTCCAGGGGTGGGGAAAGCTCAGCGAGGAAAAGACAGGCCCCCTCTTCTCAGGTGGCTTGTCAGTCTGGCCCCAGGGAGCCTGTGGGTGTTCCTTGGCACCCAGGGAGGGAGGCCAGCGCCCTGGCGGCTAACTGGCCGTGTCCTGTGTGGCCCAGGTCCCTGTCCCGCTGGCTGACCGGCGCCGCCGCTTCCTGGCCATGAAGTGGATGATCAGCGAGTGCAGGGAGAAGAAGCCCCGGCGGATGCTGATGCCAGAGAAGCTGTCGCAGGAGCTGATAGAGGCGTTTCACAACCAGGGTCCTGTGGTCAAGAGGAAGCACGACATGCACAAGATGGCTGAGGCCAACCGTGCCCTGGCCCACTACCGCTGGTGGTAGGGGTGGTGGCCGCTCCCCGGGCCCCGTGGCGCTCTGCCCCAGTGCAGTCTGGGGCCGAGGCGGGCCCATTTTCGGGAGGGCCGCCTGCCCTGGGGTTCGCTCGTTAGCTTGTTCTTTGGGGGCTAGAACCATGTTCGTGCCCATCTCCCTGCAGAAAGGAAGCCTAGCGCCTTGGATTCCCCCCAAAACCTTGGGGTCCACCCAGTCTTCTCTTTCCTTGGCTTGGGGTAGACCTGGGTGATAGGAGAGGAGGCAGCTTTAGTATCAGAAACGGTTTATTAGAAAAGCGCGCCCTGAGCTGCTGCAGCGCTGTGCATTAAAGCCGACCCGGTTCCTGTACAAAATGTGTCATAAGTTTTTGGTGGGACTTGTGCTTTGCCTGTGTCCCATGACACCCCGAAACATCCCGCCGCTGGCTACATGTGCCCATTTTATAGATGGGGAAACAGGCACCAAGGTAGCTGCAGGTCGGTGCGAGGTGTGGCCTCTGCCCGGCCCCGGGGGTGGAAGAGCCAACGGAAGAGCAGGTCAGCCTGGTGTCGAGCCTGGTGGCAAGGCTGTGGCTGAGGAAAGGTGCTCAGCGCAGGATCAGGACGTAAGGGAAAACTCAGGAGCTGCTGACATCTGGAAGAAGCCTGGGTGGGGGGCAACCCCCCTGCCAGGGTGGAAGTGGGCGGAAGAAAGGCTGGTTTGGAGAGGCGCCGCACCCCAGCCTAGTCAGATACCTCGCTGTAGTAATACTTGTGGGCGGCAGGAGTGGTCTTCCAGCCGGCCGCCCGGAACTCGATGATCTCCAGCAGCAGCAGCTGGGCCAGGGAGCTGAGGCCGGAGGGGAGCAGGAAGCCGTCCCGGATCAGGACAAAGAGCTCATCCATGCGCTGCCCGTTCATCTTCTCCAGCTGCTCCCCGACCCGGTGCAGCTGCAGCACCAGGCAGTCCACCTGCGGGGCAGCGGGGTGACCCGGCAGGGCCAGCCTGTCACGCAGCAGCCACTTACAAGGCGCGTGCGCCCGTTGGCACCCTGCCTGGCCCACATGCGTTGGACTGACGACGTCTCACGTAAAAAATGTCTTGGGGACTGGGGCCTAGTCTCTCCACAGGTGCTCGCCATTCCTCCCAGACTCGGCTTTCCTACAGGAGAGGCCTAGGAGCCAGCGGGCTGTGGCTGCTCTGTCCTGGGTCAGTGCCAAGCCTGCAGCCTGTCCTGTCACCGGCAGGCCTTTGGAGCTCCCAGGAAGTGCCCTGGGCCTGAGACCCCCACCTCCCCCTCCCACAGTGTGTCGCCCACCTCCTCCTCCTTGCTCAGGCTGTCCGGCTGGGCCAACCGGAAGAGGCAGTCATAGACGGGGTTCACCAGGGCCATCATGGGCATGTTGTTCACCTGTGGAGGGAGAGCAGCAGCCAAGCGTGGGCTCAGTGGCCGCAGGAGGTGGGCCATCCCTGCCAAGCAGAGTGGCTGCGAATGGGCCTCACCCTCAGGTAGTCGAAGATGTTGCAGATGAAGGTGACGTAGCAGACCCAGCCCTGCAGGGAGCGGGCTCGGAGCTGCTCCCGAGCCTGATACTCCTGCTGCAGCCGGTTGAGGAGCCCGCGGCGGAAGCCGCTCTGGCCAGTTTGCTTGCTCTCCGCCTGTGAGCAGGTGGAAGAAGGCAGGGCAGGGCAAGCCGACGTCCCCCTGAGGCTCACAGATCCCTGCCTTTCCCCCTCTTGTGTCGCCCCACTGGCCACATCTGCCAGCCTCGAAGGCCTTCCTCGGTGCCTCGCCTGTCCCCTACCTACCCTACCTGAATGATGGCGTAGCACATGCGTCCTGCTTCCTTGCTGAACACACAGTCCTGCAGGGAATGGTCCACGATCACGTTGGCCACTTTCTCCAGGTTCACAGCCCCAGGATCTGGGGTAGAGAGTGGTGGGGGGGGTCTAAGCCATTTAGTTACATTTGCTCTACCTGCTTCTAAGAAGGACTAAAGGTGTTGACCAAAGGGCTTTTCCATGAAAGACAACAGCTGCAATTTCACAGAAAGAGGGCAGGGCAGGGCGAGCTGACGTCCCCTGAAGCTCACAGGACCCTGCGTGCTGTCACAGGTGAAGCCCTAACAGCCGGCCAGGCAGGGCCTTGCCTGCAGATGCACCTTGGTACCTGTTGGGCACTGCTAGTGTTATGGAGTCAGACTTCTGTCCCCACAGTGCTGCAGGAAGGCCTGGTCCAGGAAAAGTTCTCTAACTCCCCTGCCCAGTACACTAGAGAACTGGTGCAGCCCCACCCCTTCACTCGGGCACTTGAACTATAAAAAAGCTTTACACACTGAGAGGTGATTCATACTCTAAATGCTGCCTTACAGGCGCATCCCTTCCAGCTGGAAAGTTGCGGAGCCACTCCTATTCTCAAGTGAAGGGAGAGTTGGGGCTCAGCTCTCCTCCCCCTTTCCCTTCCTTGCAGCTCCTGCTTGGGGCTCAGAAGGGCTCCCCACGCTCACCTTTGAGTGCTGTCTTCAGCAGCTGCTGCGTCTCCACATCAAAAGACTGGATCTTATACTCCTCTCGGCCCTGCTCCCCCATGACCAGTCTCGCGGCTCCTCACTGGGGCGGGCCTAAAGACACCACCTGTGGGGGGGGCGTGGCTAGTGCGGGCCGCACTCCCGGTCTTGCAGGATTGGGGGGATGGGGGAACAGGAGCTCCTAGGCACTCCTTGGACTTGAGGGGTGGCTGAGAGCCCACTGAGCTTGGTTTCCCCTGAGAGGACGCCACGCGGGCACCTGCTTGCTGCTCAGTTTAGGAGTCCACAGGCTTCTGGGGCTACCCACCGGCAAGCCCAGGTGACCAAGCCTGCTCTCCAGCCCCAACACGGGGGTGTACTCAGGCCAGCCCAGGTAAGCTGGGCGAGGGAGCTGAGCTGGGGATGCGACTGGCCCCGGCTGTGTAAACCCGCCTAGACCCTGCAGTCCCAGCACTGCTACCTGCAGGTGACAGGACTGGGGGCCCTAAGCGGGACAGCTCTGCCCCAGCGGGGTTACCTGAGCCCTCAGTCCACAGCACCCACCAGGCCCTCCAGCGCATGGGCTGGGGCGGTACAGGCGCCCCAACTCCCCCTACCCGGCCAGCTTCTCCCGGGGACAGGCTAGTTGAAGTGGCCTCGGGTGGCCACAGCCGGGCCGCCCCACTCAGGACTCCCAATTCTGAACTCTACTCTAGGAGCTTCCTTTAGCAGGAGGAAGCGGGGTGATGCCCTGAGCGGTGGTCTCCGTCTCCTCCCGGGGTTCCCAGACCTGGGCGGCTTCCCCAAGCCCGAATGCCCCTCCCGCTGGCGCAGGGCGGACAGCGGGCCTGTCCGGTGTCCCGCCGCTGGAGAGGCGACGTGGGCTCGGGCACCCACCTGCCGGCCC